AGGAAGGGAGGGAGGGAGGGAGGGATGTAGGGAGGAAGAGATGGAGGAAGAGAGGGAGAGAAGTAACACCTAGCATACTAACAGATAGTTAGAGACAGATTTCATGGGAGAAAAAAATGAAGATCGAAACATCCATAATTAAACAACTTTTAACATCTACATTTCTCTGAGAATCATTTTTCTGTGCCTCTATTCACTTCCTTTCCCAGCTAGGAAGAGAATCAATCTTCCTGAGCTCACTCAGCACTGTGCTTGGGGCAGAGAGTCTAGACTGTTTCTGTTTATCACTAGAAGAAACTCAAGGTACTTGGTTTTAAACTGCACCAAATCTGGTATCATCTGTTAATGTTATTTTTTAAAGCCTTTAAAAATTCAGTGCAGAACAAAAACAACAACAAGAAAGCAAATTGTCCTTTGATTCTATAATGGCTTTTATTCCCCAGAACTGCAGTGTGCAAATAAAAGAAAGCAAATTATGTTCTGAATTAAACTTTTCTTGCTTCTGCTAGGCTGAGTCACCTTTGACGTTCTTTTTTCTTTTCTTTCTTTCTGTTTTATTTCTCCTTTTATTTTTTTGAGTTTCTGGCTGCACACCAGAGCTATTTTAAAAGATGTCACAGACAAATCTGCAAACTTTAGGATGTCCTACTCCAGGCAAGTAATCTACAGAAAAGAAGCTGAGCTGAATTTTTCCCTATATTTCCCTAGGCTTTGGTTTCGCTCCAAATCTATGGGTATCTATAGTAGCATCCAGAGTTATTAACGTACAACCATTATAGATGTGGGCCTGTCTGGGCCTCTGGGATGTATCACAGATGGCAAAATGTGATCTGAGTGGGAATATATATGTATATAAACTTCACCTGGCACATATCCTGTGGTAGGAAGAAAAGCAAATATTATGTATATTTTAAGGAATGAATTCAAAATGTTCTTCAACCTTCTAAGTAGACAGGAATACAGCAATACTCTCATCCTAGTGCTACAGATAAGACTGTCGAACTTCCAAAAGGATTCTTGGTGGACAGAGACAAGGGGAATAGACACAAACATTTTTCAGCTCATCTTTTCCTACTGCAAGATTTGCTTTCCTAGTGAATGCTGGCTGTGGAAAACTTGAGGGCAGTGGCAGCCCCACATTTTCCTACAAGGCCTTGGGCAGCATTCTGGTTAGAAGGCAATGGAGGCAGAGGGTGTGTCCAGAGACTGTCCATACACAAGTAGAGTGGTTTCTGAAGATTATTCAGTGCCTCGAAAGGTAATGATGGTCATGCCAGGTAGCAATCTCTTCTCAACTTCACATACCTTTGCCCATGTTTTTGTAAGGCCTGATTTATGAAAAGTAGCTATTCTTTAAGAAAATTTCACTGAATGAAACCATAAGGAGACAGGGGACTTCCTATTCTCAGGATGGGATCTGAAAACAGGCATTTAGCCTGTGGCTTATAGATTCTAGAGTCTCTGAAACTTCTTCCTGAATTCCAGCTCTATTGAGTTATTAGCTGTGAAACTTTAGGAAGCCTCTCCCATTCTCAAATTCTTCAATCTAACAATGTTCCCTCTGAGCTTATTTTTGCTCCATATGCTTAAATTTTTTATGTTAAATAACCCAATTGCCTAAGGTTGTATGGAACAAGGGATATCATTAATAGATGTTACTAATATTATGTTAATATATATTAATAAAATCATCATCAACATCATAATTATACTGCTACTAAATATCCCCCTACATAGAACACATTACCATGTATCCTATGCATCAAAAAAAATGAGTCTTTGTATTGACCAAGACCTTGTCCTAATTTGGGAAGCTGTTCACAAAATATAAACAACTGCACATAAGCTTGTTACTGTGGCCTGGTAACTGCACAAAACTACAGAGTATGTTGAAGAGGAGGCACTGTCCTCACTGTAGGGGATGGGTAGGCATCATAGAAGAGATAGCATGTTTGAAGTGGTTCTAAAGGATGCACAGAGATCCATCAATTGAGGGTGGAATGAAAGATATGGAGCTGCAGATACAAAATAATGTATTTATGGGAATTTAAGTTTGAAAGTACAATCAATTAGTACTAAGTCCTTAAAAAGTAAAATACTCATTTAATTAAGGAAAGATCATCAAGGGTTGAGCTAGGAGACTAACATATAGGAATGTGAAGTACAGAAATCTTTCAGAACTGAGGAGCTAGTCATGTTTGTGCATGGAGGAGTCATTCGAGGGCTTGTCAAGAAATGTTACTGAAAAGTTTATGTATATGAAAGATAATTGAGGGGTGTTGTGAAGCTTTTATTTGGGAGAAATTGAAGATGAGATGAGGAAACACTAATCATTCATGTCAGAGGTGATGATAGTGCAGGGATGAAGGCAAGTTTCAGAAATAGAAAGACAGAAACCTTCTGCCATCTTTATCTTAATTAACCAAGAAGACATTGACTTTTTGAGATCCTCCCGTGGAAAAACCAAACAGTTCTTGATTTTTCCATTGTTACAACCTAGAGATACCCTGAGCTTTCTAAGGGTACTTTTGGTCAATTAACAACTGTCAATTTCCTCTTTTAAAATTAGGAGTTGATATTAAGCTTTGCATTTCAAATAAAGATTCCTCACACACACTCCAAATCAGACACTATAAATACATTAATTTATTATTAAATAGCATTTTGAACTTGAATCCAAGCAGGACCTCCAGGTCACTTTGCTTTAGCTGCTGCCATAACACTTTTTAATGGAATGTTTTAAGTGTGCATTTGTCCACATAATCTGGTATAGTGCTGTTGTATGGAGAAAACCCAGAAAATTTATCTTATAAAATAATATGTCTTCTTAGTGAGGGTGAACTAGGCAAGTTTCTGATAAATACTTGGACAGAGCAAAGCATGCTTCCGGAGTTAAGGGGCCAAACATTATGGATCTTCCACCCCAACCACTAGACAAGGTATATTGGTTGGGGACCAGGAGAAATTGTTTAAGTAAACAAATTACCATTCATTTCTATGAAAGATTATTAACATAATTTATTATATGCCTAAATCACCTGCATAAATACTATACAGCAGAATTGCCATTCCTGTGGCTGGAAATCAAAAGCGATGTGCCAACACATCTATAATGTGCTCGGGAGCAGATCATCTCCACTCTGCCTCAGTTTTCTCATCTGAAATGCATGGCAAACAATAAGAATTTTGATAGTACTTCATGGAGTCCATTTGGAGACCAAATAAACACATTCATTAAATTATTTGAAGTTTGGCAAATTCATAAAAAAAAAGTACTGAGAAAGAACAATATAAAGTTTTCTGACTGCATATGAATTTCCATTGTCACGGCAACTGCCTCCTCATGGAGATGACTTTCTTTCATGTTTTTCATGCTGATCTTCAGATGAATATGAACATTTGACCCTACACAAAAAGATATTTTAACCATAGGCTATATTCTAGTCACTATGCTTAAGCTGTGCTCCCAAAAACGTCTTTACTTAGGGAACTCAGAGTTCATAGTATAAAATGTACTGGAACTACTAATAACAAGGCAGTGAGAGCTTGGTGACCTGTGGACAAGTGCTTGCTAGCTCATAGAGTGGCAAACACTTCCTTACATATGTTCACAAAAAAGGGTGATTTTAGAAATGTCATCTTTCTAATATGACAGAGGTTTGGAGAGTGTGCTGTCTTTTTCTCCTGAGAGTGAGTTCTTGAAGCAGAAAGCCATAACTATCTTGTTCAAATGGATTACTATCTGCAAAGGAAGACTCTGGTATCTGGTGGTTTGTTAAACATGAAAAATGATGTGTGTCATTTAGACTTTGTAGAAGTTAGCTTTTCTAGATTCATTCAGACATTGTCACTTTAAATTATTTTGTGGTGATGAAATGTAAGACATAGATCCTGTGGCCTACCTAGATTCAGTTGTGCATGTTGACCACACAGATCAGTGAGACATTCTTCTGGTTTGTGCCATCTGGCACAACAGGTATGAACTAGAAGTCAATCAATACTGTGAAAACTTTGATCCTTTGCTGTGCTTCTGTGATTACCATAAATATTTCTAGTTATTCTACACCGATACAAATACATTTTTAATCAGGTCATCTAACAGCACATTATTGCTATGGGATAAAAAAATGAAGGGTTATAGTTCTGTGAGATACACTTTCTCACTCAAATTCAGATTTAATTGTATTTATTATAAATATAGAAGATAAGTTGTTATAATGGGGCTGATTCCAAGAAGTGCCATGGCTTGGGTGATTATTGATGTACTTATTCGACCATTCTTTTTTTTCCATAACATTCTTTCTCTTGACACCCAATGTTATGCCATTTTGTAGGGTAGTAATAATGAATAGAACCAAGCCTAGTTTTCAGTCACCAAAGGGAACTACATGTTTGTCCTGGCAGTATATCAGTATGACTTCTCATTCTACACAACGCATGAGATTTCCCATGATTTCTACAAACTTCTTATCCTTATCTTCTAAGATTCATTACTATCCTTTCATATTGTTGACATAGGAATATCAGTAGTAATGTATCTAAATGAATCTAGACACTTGAAACACTTGCAGTAAGGTCTACTAGGGTGTTACTGCTCTCTACCCTGGAAGACTTGAGGAAATGGGGCAGGAATCTATTATTAATTGTGAGACTAGAGAAATCTTGGAGAGGAAGAAGCATGTGGGGAGAGTAAGGAATACAAGAGTCAAATGGGCTATTTCTAACAGTTCTTCCACACGTCAGATTTCTGAAGAGGTCTTCATGTTTATGGTACTGGAATTAAATTTCAGGGATCCTAATCCTATTCTGGGCACTTCCCAGTAATGAGTAATAACAGACAAGTTAGTTATTTCATCTGTCTAGATCATAGCATGTCCTCAACTGTAAACTAGGACAGCTAATAATACTGTCAATGTAACAAGATCTAGAGTCACTTAGGTGACAAACTCTCAACAAGTGTGCCAGAGAGCATGTAGTTTGGATCAAACAAGGTCAGAAGACTCATCTCCAAAATGGATGGTACCATTCATAGGCCAGGGTTCCGCACTGAATAAAAGATGCACCCAACAGAGTACAGCATCCATCTCTGCTTCCCAAGTGTGGATGCAATGCAATACACTTGCCACCAAGTCTTCTCCAATATTATTGAATGCATCCCTTAAACTGTGAGGCAAAAATAAAACAAAAAACAAAACAAACAAACCATTCCTACTTTAAATTTGTGTGTGAGTATGTGATTGTGTCTGTGTCTGTATATGTATGTATGCTATTTGTATGTGTGATGCATGTGCAATAGTGTATGTATGTTCATATTTGTGAGTATGTGTGTCACTGCATGATGATGATGTCAAATATAGTACACAACCTCTACCTTGTTTGAGACAGGATATCATGTTATTCTCCTCTGTGTACACCAAGTAAGCTGGCTTGCTGGAGTCCTAGATTCTCCTGCTTCTGAATCCTACTTCATAGTCAGAGCACCAGGATTGCACACAGATTCTACTACATCACCGTTAAGTGGGGTCTAGAGATCCAAAGCCAGATCCTTAGGCTTCTGTACTGAATATTTCACTCAATGAGTCGTCTCTGCAGCCCCATTAACTTTCTTTTATCAGGTATCTTGTCATGGCAATATTAACAGTGACTCATACTCATACAGGACCAATAATGACACTCTTTCTCTGAATTTTAAATGAGTAATTTAAACACTCAGATACATGGGTGTAAGCAGGAAATTGATATGCTTCAATTTATTGAGGTTTATTTTTATTTAGAAAAGATCAATAAAGCCATTAACACAAATCAACTTGTTTTGTCAACTCTCAGACTTATAAATTCACCAAAATATATGTAAACATGTGTTAAATGACCCACCATTCAGAGGGCTTTGATTTGTCTGTTCCTATGGTCCCAGGAAAGGTCGACTTTAAGTCTTTGTAAATATCCAGACAAAGGAGGTTGGAGACTGGGCTGGGGTAGCTCTGGAAGAAAAGACTCAAGCCTCAGGAGACCAGGAGAGCCAGTGACAGAACAGTAAAGCCAAGGCATGGCCAAGCTGAGTCAATGGTACCGGAGCTCTTAATTTGTTCTCAGCTTCCCTGTCCTCTAAACTACTTCCTTGCCGGCAGGGATTCTGCTTTTATTTGTTTCTATTTTGTTTTGTTTTTATTTGTTTCAATCAAAAGGCATTTTCCATGGGAACATATGTCTAGCTATGAATAGAAAATCGATGGTAAAGCAGGTTTCACTCTGCTGAACTTATCGATTCTGTAAAGCAAAGCTCCTCGTATATACATCCAGCCCCGGCGAAGGGCACCGGCAAAGACTCAGGCGTGTTTCTTTCTGAGCTGCCTTTCTTGGTCCTTTCAAATCCAGCAGCGCTGAAAAGGGAAAGCGGTGTTCTTTGGCTTCACACAAACTCACAGCCATTTTGATGACAAGAAAGCAGAGCTGTTCCCAACGTGTCTTTGTTCGAGTGATAGCGGGCCCATTGAAACCTCCTGATGGAGCTCATTGAAAATAATAGGCGCCATTATCTTCCCTGCCAATGCTGCCATGAGAGCTTCAAAAGCTCAAATCATGACAGCACATATTGGATGTACGGTAGAAAGGCAGAGCGTTATTATGGGCAATTTCTGGCTCTCCTCCGCACACCTCATTGTATGAGGAGGGGCCATGGGGCTTTGTAATGCACAGAGAAAGGGCACTTTGTAGTGAACACTCTTGGGGATGTTTTTGTGTCCTTAGAATTTAAATGATTTGTCTCAAATAATTTTTGAAAGTAAAATATCAATTTCAGAATCTCTTCAGAATCCAGTGTTTGGAAGTAACCGGTCCTTTAATTTCCTATCCGAATACTGTCATATTTGGTAACTGAGTAGAGACTGCAGCAAGGAAAGAAGTAGGGAATCTCTATCTCGGAGACTGCCAAGTGCAGCAACAGAGAGTGGCCTGGTAGTGTGAGATCTGGGATCGATAGAGCAGGTTGCTGGAAGATTGCAAATGGCATTCCTTTCCCCAGGTCAGCACTCTGTCACTTCACATGTCCCCAGAAATCTGATTTTCAGCATCTCGGAGTCAGGAGGAACCAGTGTGAAGTAGGATAAACCTGAGCAAGGGAAAACATTAGCCCTCAGCCCTTAGCCCTCAGCCCTCAGCCCTCAGCCCTCAGCCTCAGCACAAGGAGCAAGCCTGTTAGTCAGTGAGAAATTGTAGGAGAAAAACGCCCCTCTGGGGCTCAACAACAGCAGAGCAAGAAGAAAGGAGAAGGGCTTTATTTCATTAAAAGAAGAGGGGGCAGGGAATGTTTGCTATTGGGGAATCTTACTTTTTGTTGAGTGTTATTATCTCTATGTCTTCAAACCACTACCCAAACACACAAAGACATTCTTTTTTTTTTTTTTTTCCATTTGGAACAACTCTGAAGGACACACTGTGCCATGTACAGCACCCTTGGGGCTTATATTTAATATCAGAACAAGATGGACTCTCCGTTTGCCTGATGCCTGACTCTAGCTGAGGAGAGGCCAGCAGTGGTTACAGCATCTTCCAGCTACTGTGGCAAAATGAGAAGTAACAAGAAGATCATGAGTCCCTATAGAAACTGTGGCGTGTTTAAGCAAGAATCTCAGGCAGGTGATACTGAGAAAGAGCTGGAAAAACTTCTTGGGACTTACATCTATGTAGAAAAAACCCTCACCAACACCAGCATGCTGCCCTGTCGTCTTGCACACACACACACACACACACACACACACACACACACACACACACACACGGTGGGGGGGCATATACAGAGAGACAGGCAGACAGACAGACAGAGGGGGGAAGAGAAAAAGAGACAGTGCCAGAGAGTTGTGCATCTCATGCACAGATTTACCACATCACACTAAAGCAGAGTGGCCTGGATGAGTCAAAGGTAACTCTGAGGTACGATGCTGAATGAAGTCTCAAAATCTAGGAGTTCATGACCTGTGTGACTCCTGCCTGTTGAACACTCTTGGTGCTTTTCCTGTCTCTGAAGTATGCTTAGCTGACCAAAACAAGTTTCATTCATGGAAAAAGGAAGATTGTCTTAGACCTCTTCTCTATGAATTTACCCCAAATAACAAGGAAAACCTTAATCACAGAGACAGATGGTTTTCTTCAGGCACAGATAGAATTTTTCATTAGTTCCATTGAAAGAAGGTACAAAGGATCATCTGAGAAACTCTACCTATAGCAGGTCCATCAAGTTGTACTCACCTTTCCAAGACCAACAGGCACTGTGTCCAGATCATGTTATATCCCAGGAGTCAGAAGCTAACCTTCCCAATTGCCTGTCTTCATATGTCTCTCTCTCACCTCTGAAGAAGAATGTACAGCTTAGCAGTTGCACGGGATTAGTGATGTTCCTTGATGTTGCTATGCTCATTAATAAGTCTGTAAGGTTCCCATCTATAAATTTGACCATCATCAGTTCATATCTGCAAATTTCAGAAGGCAGACGGAAATTTCCTCTTGTCCCTGCAAAGACAATAACAATTTTTTTCTCTATTCTTGGCAGTTAATGGCACTTCATAGATATTTTTGAGAGAAACCATTGACCAAACATAAAAAAAAAAACATTACTCTTGAAAGTAAAATGATGAATTGTCTATAATTAAAGTCTCCTCAAAATATCTTAAAAATTTCAAGCCAAAATCTTGTATTTATTAAATTCCAAAACAGAAATTTGCCCTCCTCACATTAATGCTGGCAAGCCCCTTAGCTGCTTAATCCCTTTGCTGTTTCAGGGACTACTGTCTTATTAAGCTTGCAGGAGGGACACTTCCTATGTGCTCTCTTGCTTGCTCCTCTTAGTATTTGAGTGAACAGGCAATTTTTACTTGTTCATTTGTTTATTTTTGATACAAAACATTCTAATTTACTTAACTTCTTACCAGATCATAGACAAAAATTATGTAAAAGGCCAAATATTTCTAAAACATTCCGTTTCTCAATAATTATTAGTGTTCAGTCAGAGAAGAGCTTAATTGGATTGTCACTGTGCTACTTAAACACAGGTCCCAAGCACTTACCCAGGTCTCCTGAATTGGATATTCTGGGGGTACCAGCTCTTGGAATCCATATTTTTGTTTAATTTGCTGTGGTCATTGTTTTGATTTTGTTTCTATTATTATCATTGGTGTTGGTGAGGGTGGTGGATTTGATTCAGTCTTACTTTGTAACCAAAGCTGGCCTTGAATTTACAATTCTCCTGGTTTAGTCAATGTATTAAGGCTTGCAGGCATGGGCCACTAGGGTCCATAGGAATGTACATTTTAAGTCTAATGTCCTGAGTGCATTTTGTCCACACTAACATGTGAGGGCAGCAATTCAAGGCTGACAGCATAATAGTACCCATGTTTCTAGGTGGAACTTTATAATTGTAGTGTCTAGGGAAAATGAATAAGCTCTGTATTGCATTTCCCAAGCAATTCCCCAATCTTGGCCTGCATTTTCTTCTCATGGTTTTAACACACAGATTTGTTTTAAGGGAATAGAGGAAAAGCATGAAAAAATATACCAGTGTGTATGCTTCTATTCTATGGACATTTCCTACTCTAGAATGGGTGATGAATTAAAATCCACTGATTACTCAACAGCACAGTTTGTCAGTAGTACACATGAAGGACTCAGCTTCTATTGGAAAACAGTTTATAGAATCCGTGCATGATCATGGCTGAAAATTCAAGCCATAGAGAAGGTAAGAAGATGAAGATTAATGTACCCCAAGGATTAAGCATTCTGAAAATTAAAGTACTAGAAAAAGGTGTCAATATGAAGGTCATATTACATATGGTAAAACTTAACAGTAGCCCCATACATTGTTTATGAATTAAGCCAACATGAATGGATTTTCAAATGAAAACATCAGTGTTGTGTCTCAGCACAGTATTCTCTTGAAGATACTGAGAATGGTAGATTTTGTTTTAATTGTATTATTGTCGCTTTTAAAATTCTATACAAACTATCCATTATCTTATTGTCTATACATAGGGAAGTAAATCACATTACACAGCTTCAGTTGGCTACGGGGTGTCATGTCTCCTTTGATTGATCCTATCTATGATGTAACTTGCATAATTTTAGACATTAGAATACTCTTAAGGATTAAGCTCCATCTGGTCTCCAGTACTAACATCAATGTACAGAAAAGACAAAATATGGCATATTTCTTTACTGACAATCATGTTATTTTCATTGTTCCTGTTTCATTACATATTAATTGGAGAAAAAACTGATCCCTCATCAGTACTCTACTCCAACCAGTCCATCATCTTTGCAAATCCAAAAAGCATGTGCTTATGGAACAATTTTGTACTTACAATATTTATTTAATCTCAATGTACATTAGAGGAAACTGAAGACACAATTTTTTTCCCACTTCGTGAATGAAGAAAGCAAGTTTACTGAATTAGTACATGGCACATTTAAAATGAGCTCTGAACTTCTGCCTATAGCTTTCATCTTGACCCCTATGATCTCTTTTAGAAGATATCACTCCTACTCCCCATGATACACAAAGCCCCACCCCTTCTTCTCCTCAGCATCTTTTTCTACATAAAATATTCTCCAAAGATGATAGGATATAATGTGTATTCAGTATTTCAAAGGCTTCTTTATTTCTTCACTACTTTAAGCTACTTCTTCGTTGAGAGCACAACCTTCCCTCAAATAAATTTTTAGTCTATGTAGGTGTGCCTGGGGCCAGGGCTTCCAGCCAGTATACTTTCTGTATGGGTGTGCACTTCCTTTCCTCTCAATTATGTGTTTGTCTTTTATGTTTTGGGCTAGCATTCCATGTCACCAGAATATTTTCTCTTTTTCTGTATGTTTTATTTTCTTCTGTTAGTTTTATTATTTAGCATTATTATTCTTCTTTTAGTTTGAATTTGTTGTGAATTTTGTAAATGACTACTATATTTACATAATTTCCATTCTTGTTTCTTCTTCCTCCAACTTCTCCTGTGTCCCCATTCACACTCAAATTCATGACTTCTTCCATATAAATATATCATCTAAAACATACCACACATTGTATATATGATTACATATATATATATGTGTGTGTGCATATATATATATATATATATATATATATACTTCTGAGTCCATCAGTCTTTCTTCTATGAATGTGTTTAGGACTTCCCAACTGGGAGGAGATAACTTATGGGGATATGACTATGAGAAAACAGCAAACTTCCTTGTATATGGGCTCTCTAATTAGTGGTAACCCCCATTCCACAATATTTCCCAAGTCTTAGTCATAGGGCTTATGTTGTAGTTGTACCAGTTTAAACTGGGTAACCCATGGTCAATTTATCTTTGTATTTTTACCAATTGTGGATTTCTGTGATGGTCTCTGCTTCAAATAAAGAAGCTCATTAATGAATGTCAAGTAACTACACTTATATGTGGATATAAGAATACATATAATAATGTAGTTAAATATTTACTAATGCAGGAAAGTGTGGTAGTAGGTTCTATGCTTGGGTTGCCTCACCAATCAAGGGTGATTCAGGAGGCTATAGTACTAAGCACATAATCCTTAATTTTGAACAGGCTATAAATCTTGATCTCATTAGACTGCTAGGTCCTTGTGAAACTGTCACATTATTGAAGTCCATGTTCCTTGTACATAGATGAATGGAAGAATTGAATAAGTGAAGGAATGAATGAATTGAAATAAACAACACACTGTACAACCAGTACATACCATAATGCCATGGCACATACCAGCTGGCTCACCTAAAGTACATAAGAACTTACACCATAGGAACTATCCCATATGGAAATGTAATATTTTAAAATAATGCACCATCTTCACCTTGGGATTTTTGTGAAAATAAAATGCAGCATTCTAGTCAATAATAGCTGGATAACCAAGTAGCTAAATGGAAGAGCTATAGGTTATTTTTATTATTTAAAAATAAATCAGGCAGTGAGTAACTATTCACTGAATGTATTTTCAACAAGCAGCTTAGTTTCCCTGCACAATACAGCTAACGCTACTATTGGTTAGAGTTTCATGATGCCAGGGTCAATGTTTCATCAACAGTGTCTATTCTTTTGTCATTATCTCAAGTTTTTGCAGAAGCTCTAGCTGCCACACTGTGTTCTAATAAACGGACATGTAGGACAAAGAGGAGAAGGCATTGGTCATATTATCTGCTCACTTTGACCTGCTAGCCCTTTCTTTGACGTATATGTAGCAGCATGCCCCTTTGTCCTTACTGGAAACATCATTACATGGCTACTCTGAGTTGAAACAACTTTCATGATTGGCTTTGTCAATCACATTGTATTTTCTAGAGATAAGCATACTCCATCTTAGACAAAATTAGGACCCTATTAGTCAGGAAAAAAATGACACCTTACCTTGTCTTTCACATAAATATCAAGAGATGTTATAAATAACAAGTTTTCAAAGGAAAAAATACTATTTATTTCGGTTAGACAGAAGTATGCATGTGCTTGCCTGTGTTTATGTAGTAAGTGCTAATGTTGCAGGGAAGTTTAACCCTTTTGTTCATTAATTACTAACTGCTTAATCTGGAAAAGGATAGACATAAAGAAATCTGCTATGTGATGTGGAACCAGGATTTGCATTGCGTCCTTGTAGAAATCTCTGCTTTATTGAATTCTGCCAACATGGAAGGATAGCCTTACTATGTGTAAGAGCAACAGATGACTCTCTAATCTGCCACACACACTACCCTATAACTCTTGGTACTGAAAGGAGACCATATTCCATATCATCAGTGCAGAGTGTCTACTGGAATAAAAATCCCAAGAATAGTAATTACAGGGTGCAGTAAAGCAGTACATTCAGTCTGCAGTGTTCCCTACTTATGTCTTTTCCCTTAATTATGGGATCAGACCAATATGCCATGCCTGTCATCTCTGGTGACCCACAAGTTCCATTTACATGAGCATATCTGGCATGCATAAATAGGATATTCATTCCATCATCTGTTTGACTGTGGTCCCTGTCCCCTCCTCCTCCCCTACCTCCTGTTAAAGGGCTTTGCTTACTTTCCATTACAGAAGTGACTAGAATGGTGTACTCTGACTCTGTTTATTTACTCTTTTGAACCCATCAGTGTTTAAAAAGGAAAACAGGGAGTCATCTGTGACCTAGCCAGTGACACTGGAGTCACAATTTATAACTGCCAAGTTACCAAGTAATTTTATTAATACTAGCCTCAAAAAACAGGAAAAGGTGCATTTGGGGTCTTTTTGTCATATGAGTGGAATATAATGCTATATGAAAAGCCAGCTACCTTGTTTCTGCCTTGTGCTCATATTCCAGTAAAGTCCAGTTTATGGTTTATCAAAATGTTTCAGGGCTTAAGAATGCAGTGGGTACTACATATTTACTACTGCAAATTTCTCCTTTGTAATAGTAGCCACATAAAAACCAAAGGCCATTTGAATTTGAATTAGCTAGAGGACTCTTGGTAATATTTTATATTTAAGATTTTAACTATACTCTCAATTAAACACACTACCAGGAGGTTTCATGTTAAATGTAGGTAGAAGTTTTATTTTATGAAACTTCTATATATGGCTTCTTAATGCTACAAGAAGTTATTGTTGATGGTTTTGTTTCATTTTCTCGTTACTTCTACAGAATAAAATCATTTTCCTCTCAACTATTTTGCTGAATTTGATTCTTTACTTCATAGTCCACTTGGCATTAATATGATTTACACTCATCATTCTATGTGAATAATCAGGTTATTTATTACTACTACTACTACTGTTATTATTATTATTATTATTATTTTATTGCCTGCTCTTTTCTCAGAGGTTGTGGTTTACCTGAATTCACCAAGAGTCAAATGCAACATTCACCTGTTTTATATCAATTCACTTATTGGTATAAACAACAGCATTTAGACCTGCCCCTTTCAAACCCATCCATATTCGTTGGCGAAACATGATTGGAGACTCAATATCTCAGCAAGATGACTGATGGTCTCCACAGGATATCATAATAAAATGCCATCAGCTATGTCTCTTCTACATCAGAAACTCATATCCTTACATTTCTGGAGGCTAAGGGCTGAGATCAGGGTGCCAGAGCTGTCTAGTTCAAGTTACTTACAGAGGCACTAATCCTGTCCAAGGCTCTCACCTTTAAATCTTTATCTAAACCTATTGCCTTGCCATGGCCCATCTCCAAATACCATCACATTGGATTTATGGCTCCAACATAAGAACTTGGATGTTACCATTTACTAAATATATATCTTACAGCAATAATTACTTAAAACTACTGATTTTAATAGAAGAAAAGAATTTAAATGTGAGCTGAACTGAGAAGAAAGTTAAAGAATTCAGCAGATCCTCAAAACAAAGAAGAAATTACACAGAGAAGACATACTTCAATTGAGGCACAACAGAATACATCACGGTCCCATGGACAAGCAGCTTCAATCCTAGGTTCCTAGGTAATAAATAGGAAGAGCTAGAGCTGGAACAAAGCAGAATTCTGCCACTACAGTGCATGCACATCAGAGAACTTGAAAGTGAATTTTGTGGAAAATATCTACTTACCATTTTAGAAAGATGAAAATAAAGCTTATTGTGTCATTTTCTTTCTGTCTTCTTAAAAGCCTGAACTTCTGACCAGGGACATCACAAAATCTTGAGGTCCAGAGCTATGATGGCTGTTTAGCTATTGTCTCTGAGACCAAAATATAAAAATCAAAAATTAACATTTGTGGTGGAGTTCCTGGGAATACAAGTAGAAATCACTGGGAAATGGGGGTGGAGGATTCACATGGAGAGCATGTGTGTTTTACATAAAATAATCTATTATGAATAGAATTCAGATTTATAAAACCAAGAATTTAGGGACTAGGAACCTGAGATAACAGATTAACTATTACAAAACCAAAAATGAATAGACTACTTACTGGCTAGACAACAAAGAAAAGAGTCAAGATTATGAAATTTGACAAACATATAGATTTCAAATAGAAAAGACAGGATATGTGTGTATGAGCAATCTTGTTGAAGTTAAAAAAATTCGTCAGAGGCTTTAAAAAGTAGGTTACACAAAAAGAGGAAGTCTTTGGAATATTAAAGGTAAATCTGGGAAAAAAATTTAAAAGCAATAAAAATAAATAAACAGAAATCATGCAAGGGAGTTTAAAGTATAGATGGGTAAGATTGCTCACCAGTAGCATTCCAGAAAGAAAAAATAAATTGTCATATAAAAATCCATAAAGCCTGAAAATGTACAGAATTGATGGATAATTACATTTTTCAGATTTAAAAATAAAAATTTCATCCATCATTGGCATATTGACTCTATAGTACCTAAAACAAGGCAATTTCAACCATTATGCCACATGAGAATAATATTTCAAGCCTTTAAAACCCTTTTCACAGAAACGTTCAGAAATATTTGTAGATTGTGAGGCTATATGACAGGCTCCAAGTATACAACAAGTAAAATGTTTTTAAGTGCACTTAAAAGAAGATCTCAGCAACAGACAATGTTAGCATGTCCCAAATTTTAATTTTGTAAAATCTCCATATCATTAGAAAAATAATCTTTCTGATTTCAAGAAGTTTTCACATGTGTAATATTATTGTTAAGATTTGAAGTCAGTATTTAATAGATTTGTTTAGTCCCAAATATTTTCAATCACCGAATTGTAAGAAGAACTTTTTATTATACAATTTATTTATATATTTGCTATTATTTTTCTATGAACTACTTTCTCTGGTATAGAAAACAATCTTTCCCCAAAGAGACTGTGGTATCTGTGATAGTCCTTCAATGACTTTGTATTAACTCAGTGGCCTTTGTACCTGTTGTAGAAGATGGGAAGTAAGGATGAGATTGGTTTATCACAGTTCTATGCCTCTGGCTCCAACTCCTTTTCTTCTCCTGTAGCTATTATAAGTACAATGTTTATTGAGTTATCACATGTCAGGCATTGTGTGGAGTTGCAAATGCTTTAATTCCTTTAATCCTCATGATAGCCCTAGGAAAATAGGCTCAATTATCGTTAGTTTATAGATATGGAAATTGTGGCTTAGTGAGCTATGCAGCTTGCCAAGAAATCACACCAACTGAGTGTTGAACAGGGTAAAGAAAAGAGCCTTCTGACTTCAATGCCTTGTTCTTTCCTATTATGTTGTGTTGCCTTCATAGTTCACATATAAAGTAAGGCTACTGTTGTCAAGCCTGGTTCTTGCTGAATGAATTCAATCTACTTCCTTTATGACTTCTCCAGGGTTGAAGAGAAAAAAAAACACAGTAGCTGATTCCTTGAAACATTCAGTGTTACCACTTTAAGTCTTTAAGAATCTTAATCACTGATGTCCATGATGTCAGAATGTCTACAAGGAAACATTAAAATGAGAAATTCAAGAGTACTAGCTTTTGACTTCTATTTTAGAAATGCTGTGTATGTAGTTATTTCAAGCATTATTTCATTCTCCTTTGACATACCTTATTTTTCTGCATTCTTAAATACACATTTGGTTTATGTGAAGGTAAATTTTTAATGTCAGTCTGGAGGGTATTTGGGGATGAGAATAATATTGAAGTTTTTAGATTTAGAGTAAAAGAGACTGCTATGCATACTCTTGGTGGGTCTTCTCCAGGCAGCTTTAGGCATGAAGAGAATCAGTCTTCCTTGCACATAGCTTATAGATCTCACCTTTTATCAAGGTGTTCCCTACTCTCCTGACACATGCCCATATGCAGATTCTGGGATTTCCATATTCCATAGTTACAGAAGTTAAGCCTTATAATAAATCCATTTCTACATATGCCTGTTCTGATTCTCTGAATAACCTTGATCAAAACAATCTCTCTGTTGACTGACTCACATTTCCAAAATGCCCACCCTCACTTTAGAATTCCAAATCTCTGCTGCTAGTTTCTAAATACTAATGTCTATATTTGCAACTTACTATTGTCCTCTATACATGGCAGAATGTATAACTGAGTATTTATAACCATTCTTTGTGCAGTAATTCTGTCATTGTGTGACCATCATAGTATAGTTAAACAACCCAAGGTGATATAGTCACTGGGAGACACAATCTTATAGTACCTCTTCCTTACATACAGTCTGTTGTGAACCTAAACATTATTAAGTAGGAGATGGTTGTATTTAGATAGAGTAATTTTCTACTACCCACAGTGGTAAAATCTCTCTATACTATTTTATCTCCTCTCCTGTGGAAGTTTAACTTTGATGTAGAAACAAGATAATGGAATTGTGAAAAGGAATTTTGAAATTAGAGTCTCATTCCCATCCCAACATTTTGTGTCCTGGGACAAATTTCTTGGATCCCTCCATCTCTTATACATTTTCTCTTTGTGATCCGTATTTTAGCTCGGTACGAAAAGAAATTGCACTCACAACAAACACAAAGGCTAAGTCCAACAAGTTTTAACAGCGGTCATGGGATTTTCTTCCATTTTCAGGAACATGGAAATCAAATGAGTTTCGATTTTTAACTTCTGAGACCTTGTATTTGCTGCTGTATCTGGTTCTGAGAGCCCACAGCTATAGTGTACTCTCAGAGGCTGGCTTTACCGGGGGCTTTTTGTTTTAATGTAGCAACCCTCATTCCATAAACAACTGAATTAATTCAAATTAACCACCATCTATGGCAAAAGTACACAAAACATAAAAAAATCACCTAAAATAATGTGTCTGAACCAGCTGCTAAATTAAGTAATGTATTTGTTTTATTGCACATTTGCATAATAGGGCAAACTAGAAATTCTCTGTACCAGATGTGCTGGTGGCAGGGAGCTCTGATTACTGGCTTCTGTTATTAATCACTGCACAAACCTTAAATGATTTGTTTCCGCAGTTTGATCAATTTACATCTCACAATGAACATTTATGCACACAATGTGGAGACAAAGCAGCTGCTTGCACCTTTCACATGCCTCGATATATTTATGGAGATTGAAGTGAGTACCATTTCACCAAGGCACAGGGGAGTTTGGCCAAAGACTTGATGACTTTTAGGAAGATCCCATTGTCCCCCATCAAAGTAGTTAATAAAAATAAGCCATTTACAATCCCCAGAACAATTATGTTCTGACCTCTCTTGTTTTGCCTATCTTCTGAAAACAAATGAAAAATACTGTGGATGAAATTCACCTTTGAAGCATGGACTGTAGTCCCTCTTCTTTCAGAATTTGAGGAGCTAAAGTATGTCTTAGTCTCACTGAGAGGTGCAGTGCATGCTTTTACAGCTATCTTCCCTTTTTATTTTACATTTGACATTTCATAATCCTATAATCTATGATTTCCATCAGCATTTTAAACAGGTATAATAAATCTAAAGATGGCATGCCTGATGAAAAGATGTAAAAGCATATGCAATATAAATACTGTTTCATTAATTTCCAATTAAAAATGATAAATGCATTGGGTCCACAAGTAACCGTTTTTCCAATAAGTCATAACACTAGATAATGTGATTGTTTTTTCAATTGTAAGCATTTTAGTTATTTTGTATGCAAAAACGTCATAAAGCCTATAAAATAAAGTTGCCGTTTATTTTAGCCTATCGATTCCAGGAGCTTATTTGCATTATGAAGACTGCATAATCTCCTTTCTTACTGCAATGACTTACCATTTGAGTCCTAACGTTTTTGGTTAGGTTTTTACACATGTGTATGCAAATATACACTGTATCTGATTAATTGTGATGCCTTGTGAAAGCACTGTAACCAATCAACAGAAAAGAGAAAACATTGGGGATTATTATTATTTCTCAGGTTGTCCTCATTTTTTGCCCTTGGCCTTTTAGTTCTTCATTGTAGAGAGAGAAAAAACAAAAACAGAAATCCATCTGAAATTAAATGCATCATTTTTGAAAACTGGATGAAATTTTCGATAGGCTTTTTTTTAATGCCTAGGATAGAATTAAAATGTGTATATTTTTCCTAGTCTGAGCAAGACTGTCGTAGCTACCAGCCTGCCTTTCCACAGCTCATCCTGGGAGCTAATGAAGCGCTACATATTGGTTTCAAATTCAAAGCATATGTAGTCACTGGGGCATTTTTTCCTTATATAGCATGATTTCAAAAGGCACCCCTAATGTGGTCATCTTAGAAAATGTAATTTGGTCCAGCACTAAAGAACTTTTCTCAGACAACAAAACCTTCACCTATGTGAACACAAAGTGGCTGTGAAGTTCCTTCAGCTGTGTGTGAAAAATATCCAGGAGCTGATGAAAATATATTAAAGGACTGGTGTGTCAAGGCCATGAAGGGCATTGGACAAATTTGGATAAATGTGTCCAGATTTCACAGAAGCTGAATCAGAAGTGAGTTAGAGGATGATGCAAGAAGATACTGAGGAGGCTATACTTAAACTTAACTACATTACACATCAAGAGCGATCTCTGAAGTCATTAACACTGTTGCCGGGGGTGCCTGCCAAAGAGGCAGATGTCACTCTGCCACACTTGGCATCTGATGGTTGTCATCTATAAGAGTGAATCAAATGAGGAGTGCAATTAGGTTTGTGTGGAATGGAACTCTTCCTCCTTTCTGCATTGGGTTGCTACCCGCATGCAGAACAAAATCTTGGTCTGATGTACCCTTGAGACTCTTAGGAACTTATGTGTTTGATTCTCAGAGGAAAACACTGACCTTGCAAGTTTGTTCCATTTGTTTTTAGCACATTAGACATTTTTAACACTCTCTAAGAATGACAGACACCTCCCTAGACCCCTTAGAAGCATATGCTCCAAGAAAAAAAAACTCAGCTATGTAAACATATAAGGTACAAACAGACCCTTCTAGTGTTGTGTGAGGGATATAAGTTTAGAAATTGTGTGTGGGAGTGCAAAGAAGAGCTAGGCTTCCCTTTGGGGACTGGAGACAAGCCACACAGAGGAGGAGATATTAAAGAAGCAAGCATTTGGCATGTGGGTGAAGAAGGAAGGGGGTAGGCACCTCCACAGAAAGAATCTCATGGTGACAAGTGATTACGTAATCTCTCATGAAAAGGTCTGTTGTGATGCAGGAACTGTGGAGATGTTTTCCGTTGTGAAAACCTAAAGCTGCAAGCATTCTAGGGACAGATAATGCTGAGCAAAGATGAAGACAAAGCCTGTTGAACCCTTCATTCTGTTGTTTTGAAGAGGAGTACAAGTGGGAAGTCATGGCAGCAGTATGGAGGCCAAACCACCATAAGACTTGCCATTAACACACTGTTCAAATTCACTTATATAACTAATTTATTCTCATTTTACAAATTATGAAAAGAAGATTTATAGGTGTTATATGGCAGGCCTCAGTTCACGCATTAGACAGCAAAGGGGGTCTCATCAATTTGACTAGCCTGACTGGCTAGCAAGTCTCCAGGGATGTGCTGTCTTTGCCTCCCCAGTGCTGAGACGAGAGGTTCTTCCAAGTGGGTGATGGAGATTTTAACATAGGTTCTCATGCTTGTAGAACAAGCATTTTCACAGTAAAATATTTCCCAGCCCCCAACTGCTAAATAATTAAAACGCTGAATATGAATCAACAATACCCATACAATGCATCTATCAAAGATAAGGGAAAATACTCTAAATGCTACCATTGTAACATTTGAAAATTTTTGCATTTATCTTCCACCGTCAGATAGAATTTGAAGAGTTAAAAAGCACAGAACACCAGCAAGCCAAAGTGTGAGTCAGAGAGCACACTGTCAAGTCAGCAGGCTGAGCTCTCACCTGGGGGTGTTGAGACCTCATAGGTATCAGCAAGTAGGAAGGATCATCTGGTCTCATGAAGCAATAATTTCACAGGGACCTTCCCTTAGCTGGCTATTTCCAGTGTATTTTAAAACTTTCAGTCTATTCTGTTAGTGTGTAGGAACACAGAGCCTTCCATAGCATCCAGGAAACTTCTTATACCAGGGTTGCCAGTTAGCCAACCTAAAGTAGAGGAAAGAGAAACCACCTACACTAGATCCTGCAGTAAAGACAAATTTCTAATGCAAGAACAGGCTGAGACCATGTTGACTGCTAGACAGACTCAAAGATAGCCAGGCCCCTGATCCTAACATCCATCTGCTCCTCCACAGCTGGGCCCTTTCGGTGAAGAAGCTGCAACTTTCCCAGCATTGGGTTCAAGCAGTGTCAGAGTCAGGGGACCTTAACAATGATCAGACCCCCTGCCATGCATGGTGGCTCACACCTTTAATCTTAGCACTTGAGAGGCAAAGGTAGCAGGGTCTCTGTGATTTTGAGAACAGTATGGTCTACAAAGTGAGTTGCAGGACCACCAGAGCTACACAGAAAAACCCTTTCTCGGAAAAAACAAACAAGCAAAACAACAACAAAGAACAATAAAAGAATGATCAGACCTTTTTCTGTGGACCCTGAAGCTGCACTCTCATTAATCATTGTATCCATCCATGATCCATGACTCTTAAATGGACTGGGTTTTTATTAAATCCCAGCTTTCACTTGCCTTCCTATGGCTCCCACATTACATTATAGGCCTACAGGAAGCTCCATTTGGAACTACCTGCATTAACAACAATTTGCCAGCATGTTAGAAATAAACAAAAAAAGCAGAAATCCTCTGATCAATACATAGCGATTGATAGTTGTAGTAAACTAAGCTAAGAGGCAGGTTTTTTTCTCTGAGGATTATACCTGGGACTAGTTGGTGATAAGGATGGAGATGACTAACCTCCTCCAGAGAGTTTTATTGGGGTGACTGACTCTTCAGTGTTAAAACATCTGCCCACAATGGAGCAGAGTTAACTC